ACGAGGGATGAAGATTTGAGTATAATAGATTGTTCTTGGATGGAATATGAGTATTCTTGGAGGAAATTTCGAGATTGAGAGTGAGAGAAAGAATAGAGAAGATTTAAGTGGTGAAGAGAATAATGTGTTGGGAGAAAAAGGAAAGGAAAGTGGATGGGAGGTGTGAGTGGGAGACCATGGGAATAATCTTTTTGCTTTTGGTGGTCTTCATAATTTCCCACTAACACAAGCATCTTTTACATAATTAATATAAGAGTTTTATAAAATTAAAGTAAAGTTTATAAAAAATAGAGTTTTATAAAATTTAATGTAAAGTTTATAAAAATGAAGTTTTATAAAAGATAGGTTATTATTTGATTATAACAATCTACTTTGATTTGAAGTTTAATTAGAGAATTCAAGTTTGATTCTTTTAATTTAATTAGAGCATTATACTTTGATTTGATTTTAATATGGTATCATAATTTATTTTGATTATAGTTATAACGTTGTACAATATTATGTTGCTATTAACGTCAAGTTATATCGTATTGTATGAGTTTTGATCCTATTAGCGTCAAGTAATCTTGAGTAGGGTTTATTAAATTTCTAATTGGGTTGGGTTCACCCGAATCCATTTTAGGCGGATGTCACACAACCTCCCTATAGCAAGTTCTTTTCCGATCTAAGATGCAACCGCCATTTAGTTAGCAAAGCGAGATTTTGGACTATAAGGGAGCCACTCCAAAACCACCGTCTCTTAGAAGCAATGACTTTCTCCCAAGCGACCCAATGGATTTTGGATTTATCTGCCCCACCTCCTCAAATGAACTTCATTCTTAATTTCTTAAGATTCTCAATAATGATGTTTGGGGTATAAACGATGTATTTTTTCTTAAAACTTGTATGGCTCTTCACCTTACCACTACAACTCAAAATACTTTTTAATTAATGATAATTAATTGATTCATTAAATTTTGGTAATTATAATGATATTTTTCTTACACCTTTTGCATTTGAATTTCACGACGCTTCATCTTATTATTACAACTCATAAGACTTTTTAACTATTAATGATTAATTGATTCATTAATATAATGATTACATTGATTAATTTTTAAATAAAAAACTTAAATTTAACTGTCAAAATAACAAAAAAATTCAACAAAAAACTATTATTATAATAATTTTAATTATTTAAAAAATAATAAAATTTTAAATATAATGTTAAATATCGAGATGTCAAATTCACATGCAATCTAAATTGATCACATAAACTATCAAACTAAATTGATTAGTTATTAATAGTTAAATATTGCAATAACAAATTTCTAAATTGATAACAACGATATAGTTATCTTTTAATACAATATACATTTCAATAATTTAATTATATATTGTATTATATGCAATATATTTGTTATAATTTTAATCAACAATTTCTGCGAAACGTGCGGAAATTTGTCTAGTTTTAATTAATACTCTTTAATTTTTTGTACTTTTAACATTTACTGTTCTTGTATTTGTAGCGTATGTCATATGGTTTGATATAATAATTGTTTCACCCAAAATTTATATATGTTCATAGTAATTTGTTTGACATTGATCAATACATAACAACTAATAAATAACAATTATAAGTAAATTATAAGGAACTGATTACTCATATTTTTATTCAAGTAACTACTAACACAAAAATCTCTTCTGTGAAGACTGAGTTAGATTTCGATCATTGTTTGGGTCTTGTGTTGTGCCATTAATGGATTTTCGAATTCACGTGAATCGAGTGTTTTGTATATGCCCCACAACTTTATTCATTATATATAATATAAGAAATAAGTTTGGATGTCAGAATACCATTGAAAATGTATACTAGTCACTCAGGTTTTCAGAAATTTAAATAACTTATTTACATGTTTGACTTTGGATTTTATTGTATTTGAATAAATTTGAATGGAAATAGTTCAATGCTGGTGCTACTAAAGATTTCATTAATGGTAGGTACTGTATTTGATGGTAGTCGGTAGATGAAGGTTTGACCAATTGAATTGTTGAAAGATTGTCATGCTTTCTTGTATTGATGAACATTAAAAAAAAAAATCGAATTTAAATCGTTGGTTTCTAGTTAAGAATATTGCTATTGGTTGGTTTTCAAGACACAGTTTTCAATTGATCAACTTTTTTTTTTTGGCAATCCTAAGGCTAGACCACGATCAAAGGAAAATGATGTATTGATGTTATATAGTATATACATACATATGTATGTATGTAAGATGAAAAGTTTGAAAAGTTGGGAAACGATAAAAATCAAAATTATTTTTGCTATGTTTCATCCTATCTTGTCTTTAAAACCGAAAGAGAATAGTATTGTCAATTTTGGCAATAATTTGTTACACATGAAAAATTTATTAATATAATAAACTAGAGCAATAAAATCATGAAATAGATATGTGTTATATTTGGAGGACTAATTAAAGATAGTTTATAATTAATAAAAATGACGTTTGATAAAAATAAATGATAGACTAGCTGGAAATATAAAAGTGTATAAAAAATCATGCAAGGAATAAGTTTTTTTATAATTAATAGATAATATATTTAGAAGAATTTAAAAAAAGTCCATAAACTCGTTGAAATATTAATCTAGGTAACTTATAAATCAAAATTTTTTTACTTAAAAAACATAACAATATAATTTTTTTTTTCTGAAAAATACAATAAATACATAAAAAAAAAACCATCACCCGAGAATGGTCTTGAACTCTTGGTTGGATAACCTAAAAGAAGTTTATCCAAAAAGAAAAAAAATACAATAGACTTTAAATCTTTAAAATGGTATATTTGGTATGTTTGGTTAAACTAGATATCCACATTTGTGAAAGAAGGTAAACATGATGGGTGCATCCAATCTTACAACCAACATGAATGATGAATGATGTTTAAATAAAATGTCTTTAGAGCAAAAAAAAACGTGATAGTCATGTTTAATCTCATACACCACTTATGAATTTTTATCCGTTTAAAGTAAACATCCAACTTTCAAGTAAACATACGACAAATATTCATATTTATATAGTATATGTTACTCAACCATATTATTTAGCAAGCATTTTACAATGTTAATTATGAAAATAAAACATAAATATTCTCCAGATGATCCAAATACTCACATCATTTATATAGTAAACCGTATTATTTAGCAAGCATTTTACAATTTTAATTATGAAAATGAAACATAAATATTCTCCAGATGATCGTACAAGATAAATTGATTGTGAAAGAAAAGACAAAACGCATGACAATGACATATTTGTTGGAGGACTTTGATGATAGATGACAAATTAGAAACTAAAAATGTTGCTTAAAGAAACATAATTGACTAGATATGTAAAAGTATATGATGAAAAAAGATTATTTTAGAAAATAGCCTATTGATTTCAAAAGTTATATATGAATTGACATCGTCTCCGTTTGTTATTATGAGCAACACACAAAAAGACTGTATGTTTTTAATATTATTTTTGATGGCGGGGATGCAACTAGGGATGAAAGTGGGTCCAAACCCGGACCGGATGGATCCGAGCCCGGAAAACCCGGAACCGGTTAACGGGATTTTATAGAACCGGAAACCGGACCGGTATATAGGAACCGGTTCCGGGTACGGTATCGGGTAAAGTGGGTTTAGAACCGGAAAACCCGGAAACATCAAAGTGGGTAGGTTGGAACCGGATAAAGTGAGTTTAGAACCGGAAAACCGAAATATTTTGGTAATTACTTACTACTTAGTGGGTTGAACTTTGAAAATTTTCATATTGATATCCCGACTTTGAGGGACTGTAACTCATTGAATATGAAACCAAAATTGATAAAAATTATAGTCTAAAATCATATACACACTCTAAACTATACTCTAGAAAAAACCGCATGTCAATCCAACTTTAAACGAATGAGATATGCATGTGTTAACATTTTCACAGAATACAAAGTACAAAAACAAATAGTTGAAAAGTTGAAAATTTTCAGTTTTGATATCCTGACTTCGGGGGACTGTAAATCATTGAATATTAAACCAAAAATGAAAAAATTATAGTCTAAACTCATGTAAAAACTCTAAACTACAGTTGGAAAAAACCACATGTCCATCCGACTTCAAACGAATTAGATATGCATGTTTTAAAACTTTCACAGAATACAAAAAACTGAAAAACTAAAAACTTTCAGCTTTGATATCTCGAATTTGGGGGACTATAAGTCAATGAAAATAAAACTAAAAATAGCAAATTTATAGTCTAAAATCATGTACATGCTCTAAACTACATGTTGGAAAAAACTGCATGTCAATCGGAGTTAAAACGAATGAGATATGCATCTTTTAAACGTTTCACAAAAACCGGTTCCGACCCTAAAAGTGGTTCCGGTTCCTAACACCGGTTCCGATTTTCAGACCCGGTTTACCCGGACTCGATGGACCCAAACCCGGATTACCCGGAACCCGAATAAAGCCAATTTTTAAACCCGGAACCGGAACCGGTTCTATATATTCCGGTTCTAACTGTTCCGGTTCCGTCCGATTCTGGTTCCGGTCCGATTTTCCGGTTTTAAATCTCATCCGTAGATGCAATACACATATCCTAGGCAAACAAGAGATCGAGATGGGGTGTATATCCACTTCACTCCATCTTTTGTGTGGAAAAAAATATTAGGATATTTATTAATTGTTCCTTTGAAACCATTTGCATTATATGATCGACATACTCTATCGTGTCTTTTGTAACAACACATGTCCTAAAAGTTATCGAAGAAAAGATCATCATTAATTACATTTTTTGGGATGTAATTGTGTAAAATTTTGGATTCAAAATAGCAATAATAACTATTGATCTGGATTTTAAGAACGATGCTGGGCCCTTATTGGATATCAACTGAATAACATTACGCTGCTTAGCCCAATCTATGGACTGAACATAGGGCCATTTACGAGTATACAACACCTCAACTCCTCAAGGCTCAAACTCAAACCACGGAGGGGTTACATAAGACTATCAAAGTGCGTCCCTGAAGCCGACGGAGAGGGGAGACAAGAGAGAAAGCGGAAGGGTCCCAGTCTGACACACGATTCATGGCCGCCAAAGGAGGAGCAGCTCCGGCGACGTACTCACCGTCCCCGACAACCTTTAAGAAGAAGAGACCTCCCATTTTCACCGATGTTGATTGGGTACGCCCCGACGGTCGCGATTTTCACCAGTGCAGACCTGCATGTATGTCCTAGTATCCTATATCGCTCTTCCTCTGCATAATCACCTGCTCAACTCGTTTGTTTTGTTGATGTTTTGATATGAAAATTAGTATGATATTTTGTAAGTAGATTTTCTATTACCTTTTGATTAATCATGCTGTATTTCCTGCCCCTACACTCAAGGAAGAGTGGGAGAAACAATATAAGAAGAATAAAACCCTAATTTTATCGGCTTTTCAAGATGATTTCTTGTCGATACGTTTTATCTTCAGCATTAAGGGCCAGATAACGTACTTGTGTGAGTTTTTTCTATATCAAGCTTGCACATTTTCTATAAGAATCAATTTCTAACGCCCTAATTTAGACATATGAACAATTATTTTGGCTTAAACATGAAAATCTCATATGCATTTGAGGTTCCTTCATATTTTAGCTTATGCTGTGATATATTTCCAAGTGACTTGATTTTTTCCTAGTTCTGTTCTTTTTGCTCATAATTTACCACTTTTTAGGGGTTTACATAGTGGATTATGCATAACTTGTGTGCTGCATTATCTGCTTTTCAGTTTTACGAACGGGAGCTGTAAATGCAGCATCAGGATCTGCTTATGCAGAGTTTGGTAATACTAAGGTCATTGTGTCCATGTAAGTTCACCTCTTATGTAATAGATATTTTACTGATACATGTTTGATGTTTCTCAAAGATATATTCTGTTGATTCTTTCAGTTCATAGTACTCGTTGAATGTTGACTAAACAAGCATGTGTATTCATACAAGCTGACATACATCCTTGAGAAATTGAAACTGATTTATGCAGCTCCTATATCTTTTTTACAAATGAACGCTCTTGTTTCAGATCAATAATGACCTAATGTTGCTAATAGATTATCAGCCCACATCTGTCATTGTTATAAGGATTAGAAGTGTTCTTTAAGTTCTATGGCAGTGAATATTATTCTTATCTTTCATCAATGAAATATTTAACACCCTAATTTTTTACCCAAAAAGCTTCTTTTATAAAACACAGTTTCCATACAAAAGCTGCACTTCTCTATAACACGGGGACACAATTCTTTTAAATGTTATCCTTACTAATAAACATCATTTTCCATTATAATTTTATTTCAGATTTGGGCCCAGGGAAAGTAAGAAAGCAATGATGTACAGTGATACTGGTCGCCTAAACTGTAATGTTACTTATACAACTTTTGCCACTCCAGTTCGAGGACAGGTATGTTTATGGAGTTATTAGAATAATAATAATAATAATAATAATAATAATAATAATAATAATAATAATCTACTTCTTTTTAGAGTAAAATATTTCATTTGTCATATCTTTTATTTGTAGTCAATGTTTTATATATGCTAGGCATCATCAGACAACAAAGAGATTTCATCACAACTGCACAAGTCTTTGGAGGGTGCCATAATGCTTGATACATTTCCCAAAACAACTGTTGATGTTTTTGCATTAGTATTGGAGTCTGGTGGCTGTAAGTTCCTATCTCTTTTATTCAAAACATATGTTTCTAATTTTTCATCTCTTTTTAAAAATTTATGTATAATAATTGCAGGTGATCTTCCTGTAGTAATCTCATGCGCCAGTCTTGCTTTAGCAGATGCAGGGATTATGATGTTTGATCTGGTTGCTGCAGTTTCTGTGGTATGTATGCACATGAATGTTATTTTTTGATTGATTGTGTAAGCTTTTTGACACTTCTTTTTTATTTATAAAGTCTTGCTTGGGGAAGAATCTTGTGATTGACCCTGTTTCAGAAGAAGAAAATTATCAAGATGGTAGTCTTATGATTACTTGTTTACCCTCACGTAATGAGGTAACTCAGTTGACAATAACTGGAGAATGGTCTTCCCCAAAGATTCATGAGGTATGCCATCAAAATGGCAATTTTGTAATTAATGTTTTAAAGTGTTACTTTACTTGCATCGTTTAACTGATAGAAAATTTGTTAAATATAAATTAACAGGCAATGGAACTATGTCTTGATGCGTGTTCAAAGCTTGGGAAGATCATGAGATCATGTTTGAAAGAATCGGCCTCCACCTCCACCTCCACCTCACAAGAGTAGCTGCTTGTTTAAAACATAACATGTATGTTTGGATTCCATTTTTCTCAATTAAAGATACATAATAGGCACTTTAGTTTTGAATATCTTGTTTTTTTTTTAGCATGTCCAAATTTTGAACCTGTGAAAAACAAAAAAAAAACATGGTCTTTTGTTGTTGGCCTAAATTTTGCTTCTTTAGTTTTGAATGTCTTGTTTTCGGAGGTATGAGATTGTTATAGATTGTAAGAAATATTTATGTTATTTGATCTTTTCTAATTATGGAAACTTCTTAGCTCACCTTGACTGGGTTTCGAAGATTTGAGTGGGCCTTTTCAGTTAAAAAAGTCAAATTAAAAGGACTTTTTGAACCAAATTAGAAGCACTGACTTTCTTGACTTCTTGTTATGGGTTGATACGTTCAACTGGATCAACATTTGTTGTTACTTGAGTGGACTTACTGTTTCTTAGGAATCTTTGAGTGGTAGATCTTGGATATGATGTAGTTATCAAACATGCCACTTTCTTCTATAACCAACATTTATCAAGTTGTGTTTACTGTTCACATAGTCGAATCAATTTTTTTTTTCAAAGTTACAGAAATGATCCTTGTAAAATAGTAAAATTACAGAAATAATCCCTATTTAATAGTAATTTTAAAGAAATTATCCCTGAGCGATATTACCAAAATAGTCCATGTGTAATAGCGAACTTACAAAGATTGCATCTGTGTAGTAGTGAGATTAGAGAAATAGATCCCTTACAATCTTTGATTTTTAAATTATTTTGGCCTAATAAACGCGTGGGCATGGCCATTAGTTACAGAATATATTTGACTTTGATAGTAAAGGGTACTATTAGGTATTAGGTAGAGGTGTACAAAAGGCTCGTCAGAATGGATTTTTTTTTTTTTTGAGTTCTTATCGGCAATTCTTTTCATTTTTTCTTGTTGCTGCATAGGGACGAGCATATGAACCGGGAACCGGCCAGAACCAGTACTGGAACCGAAACCCGATGGAACCGGTCGGGTCAAGCCAGGACCGGGACGATATTTTTCTGGATTTTTGGAACCGGGAACCGGAACCGGTAGAACCGGCAAAAACCGGAACCGTATGTTGCTATTTTTCGAGGACCGGTTCCAACATTGATGACACGACCAGAACCGGTAGGAACCGAAACTGGTAGAACCGGCAGTCCGGTTTGGTTCCTATTTTCCACCAAGTTCGGTTCTCGAGCCGGTTCCTTTGCTCATCCCTATTGCTACATATCTCGCTTGTACACGTCTTCTCTTTGTTTTCGGGACCTCTAATGAGTTACAGACAAAGTTCGAAAATGTTAAATCTTTGATGATTACATCATCTATGATTGAGTTGTAAAAACTTTTGGGTACATCCTACATCTGAACTGAATTCTTTCTGGTTAAAGAACATCTTTCTAGTTGCTTTGAAACAATTATGAGATTCTCTAGGCGGTAACATGTGATTGGGTAGTGGTCCTGTTTATGGGGTCAAAGCATATAAATGTTACAACACTACTTGCAATGCCACTAAATTTAAAATCAATTTATCTAAGTATTTTGATTTATATCAACAACAGACCAAGATAATCAGATTATAACACGGTAGAGGGAGTTAGATGTCGATAATTATGTCTTCATACAGATAGAATGACTGCTTCTTATTAATGATTTTCGAGTTTCGACATGTGCAACCATAATCTATAAACGAGGTAAACATATGAAAGTATAACAACATGATCTCCTTAGCCTAACACTATCATCCTACTTTCTTCTAAGAGATCCTCTTCTTCTCTTACCATCAATTATAATCGACTCTACCCTCTTTTATCATTTCTGATTGTAGCCTCCTTAGGATATGTTCATACCACCTCAATCGTCCTTACCTCAATTTTCTGTTTTCTATGCCTCTTACAACGAGTTTTTTTATAGCCACATTTGAAATCTCACCCAACAAAGTTCTACTCCATATAATTAGAGTTGGCAAAAACTGAAACCTCACAACACGACACAAATATTAAATGTGTAAGGTTGAGACTCAAAATTTTCAATTTGAAAATGACTCGTCTATGGGTATTCAAGGTTTTATTTAAGGAAAAAAAATTCTTTAGGTAATGTTTTGATCAAGGTTGGGAATATACCCTACACCTTGTAAGACTGAGATAAATTGAACCACACACCAAAACGTGTGTATGATATTGTATATATACTAATGAATTATAATAATGAGATCCTATAATGTAGGATCTATAGAATACATATATACATAACATATTTAACAATATATACAATATATTTATCTAATAGTTATCTAATATCCCCCCTCAAGCGAATAGGCGGTGGACCAACGCGTAACAAAGTACGAAAATGCTCAAACTGAGGACGTGGAAGGCTTTTGGTGAAGATATCCGCCACTTGAAGCTTGGTAGAAATAAACTTGGTGTGAAGTTTGCCGGAAGTGACAAGTTCCCGGATGAAATGATAATCAAGGTCAATGTGCTTAGCGCGCTTGTGAGCAACAGGATTTTGAGTCAAAAATAAGGCGCTTTTGTTATCACAGAGCAGAGTTGGTCGATCCGGTGGCAAGGCATGAAGTTCACGTAGAAGATGAGTGATCCAGACAATTTCTGCAGCTGTGTTCGCCATGGCCCGGTATTCAGATTCACAACTAGATCGTGAGACAGTTGGTTGCTTCTTTGCACTCCAGGAGACAAGATTGCCGCCAAGAAATATGGAATAGCCATAAGTAGAGCGACGAGTTTCAAGACAACGAGCCCAGTCAGCATCAGAATAGCCCAATATGGTGTTGGTCTGCGGATGACAGAAAAGAAGCCCAAATGAAGCAGTACCCTTAACATAACGCAGAATGCGTTTGACAGATTGAAAGTGAGCATCCGTAGGTGCATGAAGATATTGACTGGCTTGATTAACAGCATAAGATAAGTCTGGTCTGGTAATAGTTAAGTACTGTAAGGCCCCGACAAGCGATCGATAAAGAGTGGGATCGGAAAAAGGAGAGCCATCAGAGGTGAAAGTCTCATGTGTAGCAAGAGGCGTGTGGACCGGTTTGGAATCAAGCAAATCCGCCCGGGTAAGAACATCTTTAGCGTATTTAGACTGACTTAGAAATAAACCATTGTCAGTGTAACTAACTTCAAGTCCAAGAAAGTAACTCAAGTCGCCAAGATCTTTAATGGCAAATTCACGATTTAAACGAGCAGTAAATGTAGTGATGACAGACTCATGACTGCCGGTAAGAATCAAGTCATCAACATAAACGAGAAGATACATGATGCAAGAGTCTCGAGAAAAAATGAACAGGGAAGTGTCAGCACGACTGCAGACAAAACCGTTGGATAGTAAAAAGGTGCTGAGACGTTGAAACCAGGCTCTAGGTGCTTGCTTCAAACCATAGAGAGCTTTGGATAACTTGCATACATGATTTGGAAATTGGGGATCGGTGAAACCAGGTGGTTGCTCCATGAACACAGTCTCTGTGAGTTGACCATGAAGAAAAGCATTTTTAACATCCAACTGATGAAGACGCCATTTGTTCAATACTGCAAGAGATAGAACAATGCGGACAGTAGAGGCTTTAATTACAGGACTGAACGTATGTGAATAATCTATCCCTGGAATTTGTGTGAAACCTTGAGCGACCAGACGTGCTTTATACCGTTCAACAGATCCGTCGGCATTGAATTTAATACGATAAACCCATTTAGAACCAACAATATTTGAGGAAGATGGGCGTGGGACTAACACCCAAGTATTATTATGACGTAGAGCCTCCATCTCCTCATTCATGGCAGCCAACCATCGTGGATTTTTTGCAGCTGATTTATATCCTTTTGGTTGAGATTCAGAAAATAGGGCAGCATGCAATGCATGTTGAGCGAAGGAAGAAATGTCAAAGAGATGTTTGGGCTTAAAAATACCAGACTTGGAGCGTGTAGTCATAGGATGGAGTGAGGAAGCTCGATTTGGAGGGTCCGGACATGGTCTGGGATCTGAGTTGTCATTATCAGAAGGTGGACTGCCATAAGATGAATCGTTAATTGGGTCGTTGTCAGGTGTAGGAGGTGTAGCAGGGCCATCGTCGGATAACGGGCCAGCAGGGATATTGTTGCGAGAGACAGGTTCACATAAAGAGCATGGTCTGGTAACTGGAGGCGAATGGGTCCGTTGAATGGTATCGGTTTTAGTAGGCTGATCAAAAAATGAAGTATGAAGAGGCCCGTCATCCAAGAAAACAGATAGGTCCAGCTTGGAAAAATAAGAGGACACATGTTGATCAGCAAAGGGGAAAGAGGTTTCATTAAAACGCGCATGTCGAGTGATATAAATCCGTGATGTTGTTGGATCAAGACATTTGTACCCTTTATATTGAGGATGATAACCAATGAAGATGCAAGAAATGCTCCGTGGTGTAAGCTTGTGTGCTGAATAGTCACGAAGATATGGGTACACTTGACAACCAAAAGTGCGAAAATTTCCATAAGAAGGTATGCGTGAGAAAAGCAACTGAAATGGAGAATGATTATTGAGAATCTTGGTAGGAAGCCGGTTGATGATATATGTAGCTGAGCTGAAAGAATCAACCCAATAGGAGGTCGGGACATGTGCATGAAAAAGCATAGACAGACCAGTTTCAACGATATGCCTATGCTTCCGTTCAGCTCTGCCATTTTGTTGGGGAGTATGCGGGCACGAAAGCTGATGAACAATACCATTTTCTTCAAAAATTTCACGAACAATGTGATTGACAAATTCACCGCCCCCATCACTTTGAAAAACCTTAATTTTCCGTGATAGTTGTGTTTGAACAAGCTTTATAAAATTCTTTAAAACAGCATAAAACCCTTTCTTATTTTGCAAAGGATAAAACCATGTGAAACGTGAGTGATCATCAATAAACACAACATAATATAAATAACCATTTGATTCAACCGGAGCTGGTCCCCATAAATCACAGTGTATCAAATCTAACGGATTTAATGATCGTTTAGGATTTAAATCAAAGGGTAATTTTTGTCCCTTAGAAAGATGACAAGGTTCACAAAAAACTGGTTTAGGCAAAATAGAAGTAACATTCAACAAACCAAGTTTTTGTAAATTAGAGATAAC